TATCTGTGTCCAGTACCAGTGTCCAGTACCAGTGTCCTGTATCAGTGTCCAGTACCAGTGTCCAGTACCAGTGTCCAGTACCAGTGTCCAGTACCAGTGTCCTGTATCAGTGTCCAGTACTAGAGCTGAAACAACTAATCGATTTAATCGATTAAAATCGATTATTAAAATAGTTGTCAACTAATTTAGTCATCGATTAGTTGCTAAATAACTTTTATTTTGCCGTAAGCGGCTCATTTCGTGCATATTTTAACTCTGCGGTGACCAAATGGTGGCAGTAATGAGCCACCGGAGGTTTTACAGCAGGAGAAGTAGCGAATAGCCAATAGCTGGCCTCCTTTTATGTCACATGCTTCGCGCACAGCTTCTCTTCAGCATACAGCAAGATGGCGGAGGCAAGCGGAGTAAGCTCGAGAAAAAAAAGGAAAAAAGCAGAAGACAAACCTAATCGAACGAAGTCATCCAAAGTGTGGGAGCACTTTACTTTGAACCTTCAAAAAAGAAGAGTAACCTGTAAACTCTGCGCTACTGACTTGGCCTGGCACGGGAGTACTACGTCTCTGCGTGAGCACCTTAAACCATCTCTCTGCAGTACTGACTGTTTGCAAAAGATGGCGCCACACTCACTGTTTTAGGCATAAAGTTGATCTTTCAAATAATTTGCACAAAGATGTAAAAAAAAAAAAACATTTATCAGTTTATCAACTTAAATAAGCCTTGTTCGGGATTTTAAACTACTTCAGAAGCCCTAAGGATTTTCATGGTGAAAACATTATTGGAAATCTCCTTGTGAAATTTGCTAGAGTATGTAACGGTCAGTGTTTTGTTTTGATGGTCAACATTGAGTTCACTAAAGGATTACAAAGACATAATAAACAGCTCCAGTTAAGTTTTTGATGTGGATATGAATATGTAAAATGGTTAAAATCTCTAAAAAGTCTATGTTGAATGATGAAGGCCCTTTGTTAACAATTTACTTGGAAAAAAATTGGCAAAACTAAAATATAAGTACATAAACCGATTAATCGATTAATCGTAAAAATAATCGCCTGATTAATCGATTATCTAAATAATCGTTAGTTGCAGCCCTATCCAGTACCAGTGTCCAGTACCAGTGTCCTGTATCAGTGTCCAGTACCAGTGTCCAGTACCAGTGTCCAGACCAGTGTCCGGACCAGTGTCCAGTAACAGTGTCCAGTAACAGTGTTCAGTACCAGTGTCCAGTACCAGTGTCCAGTACCAGTGTCCAGTAACAGTGTCCAGTACCAGTGTCCAGTAACAGTGTCAGTACCAGTGTCCAGTACCAGTGTCCAGTACCAGTGTCCAGTACCAGTGTCCAGTACCAGTAACAGTGTCAGTACCAGTGTCCAGTACCAGTGACCAGTACCAGTGTCCAGTAACAGTGTCAGTACCAGTGTCCAGTACCAGAGTCCAGTACCAGTGTCCAGTGTCCAGTGTCAGTACCAGTGTCCAGTACCAGTGTCCAGTAACAGTGTCCAGTGTCCAGTGTCAGTACCAGTGTCCAGTACCAGTGTCCAGTAACAGTGTCCAGTGTCCAGTGTCAGTACCAGTGTCCAGTACCAGTGTCCAGTAACAGTGTCAGTACCAGTGTCAGTACCAGAGTCCAGTACCAGTGTCCAGTACCAGTGTCCAGTGTCCAGTGTCCAGTGTCAGTAACAGTGTCAGTACCAGTGTCAGTACCAGTGTCCAGTAACAGTGTCAGTACCAGTGTCAGTACCAGTGTCCAGTACCAGTGTCCAGTACCAGTGTCCAGTAACAGTGTCCAGTAACAGTGTCCAGTAACAGTGTCCAGTACCAGTGACCAGTTCCAGTGTCCAGTATCAGTGTCCAGTAACAGTGTCCAGTACCAGTGACCAGTACCAGTGTCCAGTAACAGTGTCAGTACCAGTGTCAATACCAGTGTCCAGTACCAGAGTCCAGTAACAGTGTCCAGTACCAGTGTCCAGTGTCCAGTGTCCAGTGTCCAGTGTCCAGTAACAGTGTCCAGTAACAGTGTCCAGTACCAGTGTCCTGTAACAGTGTCCAGTAACAGTGTCCAGTAACAGTGTCCAGTAACAGTGTCCAGTACCAGTGACCAGTACCAGTGTCCAGTACCAGTGTCCAGTACCAGTGTCCAGTAACAGTGTCCAGTAACAGTGTCCAGTATCAGTGTCCAGTATCAGTGTCCAGTACCAGTGTCCAGTACCAGTGTCCTGTATCAGTGTCCAGTACCAGTGTCCAGTAACAGTGTCCAGTAACAGTGTCCAGTACCAGTGTCCTGTATCAGTGTCCAGTACCAGTGTCCAGTACCAGTGTCCAGTACCAGTGTCCAGTACCAGTGTCCAGTAACAGTGTCCAGTACCAGTGTCCTGTATCAGTGTCCAGTACCAGTGTCCAGTAACAGTGTCCAGTAACAGTGTCCAGTACCAGTGACCAGTACCAGTGTCCTGTATCAGTGTCCAGTACCAGTGTCCAGTACCAGTGTCCAGTACCAGTGTCCAGTACCAGTGTCCAGTAACAGTGTCCAGTACCAGTGTCCAGTACCAGTGTCCAGTAACAGTGTCCAGTAACAGTGTCCAGTACCAGTGACCAGTACCAGTGTCCTGTATCAGTGTCCAGTACCAGTGTCCAGTACCAGTGTCCAGTACCAGTGTCCAGTACCAGTGTCCAGTAACAGTGTCCAGTACCAGTGTCCAGTACCAGTGTCCAGTACCAGTGTCCAGTACCAGTGTCCAGTAACAGTGTCCAGTACCAGTGTCCAGTAACAGTGTCCAGTACCAGTGTCCAGTAACAGTGTCCAGTACCAGTGTCCAGTACCAGTGTCAGTAACAGTTTTCCCAGACTTCAGGACAGTCTTGCTACACTAATAATAATAATAATAATAATGGCGGTCACTCAGAGTAAGAGGCACATGCCTATTCTTCCTGGTAAGACACCAGAGGTCCAAAGCCTTTAGCCTCGTTAGAGTCAGACACACACCTGTGTCAACCACAGCTAAAACGGGTCAGGGGTCCACGGGGTCCACGGGTCAGGAGTCCACGGGTCAGGGGTCCACGGGTCAGGGGTCCACGGGTCAGGAGTCCACGGGTCAGAGGTCCACGGGTCAGAGATCCACGGGTCAGGGGTCCACGGGTCAGGAGTCCACGGGTCAGGGGTCCACGGGTCAGAGGTCCACGGGTCAGGGGTCCACGGGTCAGGGGTCCACGAGTCAGGGGTCCACGGGTCAGGAGTCCACGGGTCAGAGGTCCACGGGTCAGGGGTCCACGGGTCAGGAGTCCACGGGTCAGAGGTCCACGGGTCAGGGGTCCACGGGTCAGGGGTCCACGGGTCAGAGGTCCACGGGTCAGGGGTCCACGGGTCAGGAGTCCACGGGTCAGGGGTCCACGGGTCAGGGGTCCACGGGTCAGAGGTCCACGGGTCAGGGGTCCACGGGTCAGGAGTCCACGGGTCAGGAGTCCACGGGTCAGGGGTCCACGGGTCAGAGGTCCACGGGTCAGGAGTCCACGGGTCAGGGGTCCACGGGTCAGAGGTCCACGGGTCAGAGGTCCACGGGTCAGGAGTCCACGGGTCAGGGGTCCACGGGTCAGAGGTCCACGGGTCAGGAGTCCACGGGTCAGGGGTCCACGGGTCAGAGGTCCACGGGTCAGGGGTCCACGGGTCAGAGGTCCACGGGTCAGAGGTCCACGGGTCAGGGGTCCACGGGTCAGAGGTCCACGGGTCAGGGGTCCACGGGTCAGGAGTCCACGGGTCAGGGGTCCACGGGTCAGGGGTCCACGGGTCAGGGGTCCACGGGTCAGGAGTCCACGGGTCAGGAGTCCACGGGTCAGAGGTCCACGGGTCAGGGGTCCACGGGTCAGAGGTCCACGGGTCAGGGGTCCACGGGTCAGGGGTCCACGGGTCAGGGGTCCACGGGTCAGGGGTCCACGGGTCAGGAGTCCACGGGTCAGAGGTCCACGGGTCAGAGGTCCACGGGTCAGAGGTCCACGGGTCAGGAGTCCACGGGTCAGAGGTCCACGGGTCAGAGGTCCACGGGTCAGAGGTCCACGGGTCAGAGGTCCACGGGTCAGGGGTCCACGGGTCAGGAGTCCACGGGTCAGGAGTCCACGGGTCAGAGGTCCACGGGTCAGAGGTCCACGGGTCAGAGGTCCACGGGTCAGGGGTCCACGGGTCAGGGGTCCACGGGTCAGGGGTCCACGGGTCAGAGGTCCACGGGTCAGAGGTCCACGGGTCAGGGGTCCACGGGTCAGGAGTCCACGGGTCAGGAGTCCACGGGTCAGAGGTCCACGGGTCAGAGGTCCACGGGTCAGAGGTCCACGGGTCAGAGGTCCACGGGTCAGGGGTCCACGGGTCAGGGGTCCACGGGTCAGGGGTCCACGGGTCAGGAGTCCACGGGTCAGAGGTCCACGGGTCAGGGGTCCACGGGTCAGAGGTCCACGGGTCAGAGGTCCACGGGTCAGGAGTCCACGGGTCAGGGGTCCACGGGTCAGGAGTCCACGGGTCAGGAGTCCACGGGTCAGAGGTCCACGGGTCAGAGGTCCACGGGTCAGGAGTCCACGGGTCAGAGGTCCACGGGTCAGGAGTCCACGGGTCAGGAGTCCACGGGTCAGGGGTCCACGGGTCAGAGGTCCACGGGTCAGAGGTCCACGGGTCAGGAGTCCACGGGTCAGAGGTCCACGGGTCAGAGGTCCACGGGTCAGAGGTCCACGGGTCAGGAGTCCACGGGTCAGGAGTCCACGGGTCAGGAGTCCACGGGTCAGGGGTCCACGGGTCAGGGGTCCACGGGTCAGGGGTCCACGGGTCAGAGGTCCACGGGTCAGAGGTCCACGGGTCAGGAGTCCACGGGTCAGGGGTCCACGGGTCAGGGGTCCACGGGTCAGGGGTCCACGGGTCAGGGGTCCACGGGTCAGGGGTCCACGGGTCAGGGGTCCACGGGTCAGGGGTCCACGGGTCAGGGGTCCACGGGTCAGGAGTCCACGGGTCAGGGGTCCACGGGTCGGTGACAGACCAGGACAGAGACCAGTGACAGAGACCAGTGACAGAGACCAGTGACAGAGACCAGTGACAGAGACCAGTGACAGAGACCAGTGACAGAGACCAGTGACAGAGACCAGTGACAGACCAGTGACAGAGACCAGTGACAGAGACCAGTGACAGAGACCAGTGACAGAGACCAGTGACAGAGACCAGTGACAGAGACCAGTGACAGAGACCAGTGACAGAGACCAGTGACAGAGACCAGTGACAGAGACCAGTGACAAAGACCAGTGACAGAGACCAGGACAGAGACCAGTGACAGACCAGTGACAGAGACCAGTGACAAAGACCAGTGACAGAGACCAGTGACAGAGACCAGTGACAGAGACCAGTGACAGAGACCAGTGACAAAGACCAGTGACAGAGACCAGGACAGAGACCAGTGACAGAGACCAGTGACAGAGACCAGTGACAGAGACCAGTGACAGAGACCAGTGACAGAGACCAGTGACAGAGACCAGTGACAGAGACCAGTGACAGAGACCAGTGACAGAGACCAGTGACAGAGACCAGTGACAGAGACCAGTGACAGAGACCAGTGACAGAGACCAGTGACAGAGACCAGTGACAGAGACCAGTGACAGACCAGTGACAGAGACCAGTGACAGAGACCAGTGACAGAGACCAGTGACAGAGACCAGTGACAGAGACCAGTGACAGAGACCAGTGACAAAGACCAGTGACAGAGACCAGGACAGAGACCAGTGACAGACCAGTGACAGAGACCAGTGACAAAGACCAGTGACAGAGACCAGGACAGAGACCAGTGACAGAGACCAGTGACAGAGACCAGTGACAGAGACCAGTGACAGACCAGTGACAGAGACCAGTGACAAAGACCAGTGACAGAGACCAGTGACAGAGACCAGTGACAAAGACCAGTGACAGAGACCAGGACAGAGACCAGTGACAGAGACCAGTGACAGAGACCAGTGACAGAGACCAGTGACAGAGACCAGTGACAGAGACCAGTGACAGAGACCAGTGACAGAGACCAGTGACAGAGACCAGTGACAGAGACCAGTGACAGAGACCAGTGACAGAGACCAGTGACAGAGACCAGTGACAAAGACCAGTGACAGAGACCAGTGACAGAGACCAGTGACAGACAGTGACAGAGACCAGTGACAGAGACCAGTGACAGAGACCAGTGACAGAGACCAGTGACAGAGACCAGTGACAGAGACCAGTGACAGAGACCAGTGACAGAGACCAGTGACAGAGACCAGTGACAGACCAGTGACAGAGACCAGTGACAGAGACCAGTGACAGAGACCAGTGACAGAGACCAGTGACAGAGACCAGTGACAGAGACCAGTGACAGAGACCAGTGACAAAGACCAGTGACAGAGACCAGTGACAGAGACCAGTGACAGAGACCAGTGACAGAGACCAGTGACAGAGACCAGTGACAGAGACCAGTGACAGAGACCAGTGACAGAGACCAGTGACAAAGACCAGTGACAGAGACCAGTGACAGAGACCAGTGACAGAGACCAGTGACAGAGACCAGTGACAGAGACCAGTGACAGAGACCAGTGACAAAGACCAGTGACAGAGACCAGTGACAGAGACCAGGACAGAGACCAGTGACAGAGACCAGTGACAAAGACCAGTGACAGAGACCAGTGACAAAGACCAGTGACAGAGACCAGTGACAGAGACCAGTGACAGAGACCAGTGACAAAGACCAGTGACAGAGACCAGTGACAGAGACCAGTGACAGACCAGTGACAGAGACCAGTGACAGAGACCAGTGATAGACCAGTGACAGAGACCAGTGACAGACCAGTGACAGAGACCAGTGACAGACCAGTGACAGAGACCAGTGACAGAGACCAGTGACAGAGACCAGTGACAGAGACCAGTGACAAAGACCAGTGACAGAGACCAGTGACAGAGACCAGTGACAGAGACCAGTGACAAAGACCAGTGACAGAGACCAGTGACAGAGACCAGTGACAGACCAGTGACAGAGACCAGTGACAGACCAGTGACAGAGACCAGTGACAGAGACCAGTGACAGAGACCAGTGACAGACCAGTGACAGACCAGTGACAGAGACCAGTGACAAGACCAGTGACAGAGACCAGTGACAGAGACCAGTGACAGAGACCAGTGACAAAGACCAGTGACAGAGACCAGTGACAGAGACCAGGACAGAGACCAGTGACAGAGACCAGTGACAAAGACCAGTGACAGAGACCAGTGACAGAGACCAGGACAGAGACCAGTGACAGAGACCAGTGACAAAGACCAGTGACAGAGACCAGTGACAGAGACCAGTGACAGAGACCAGTGACAGAGACCAGTGACAGAGACCAGTGACAGAGACCAGTGACAAAGACCAGTGACAGAGACCAGTGACAGAGACCAGGACAGAGACCAGTGACAGAGACCAGTGACAAAGACCAGTGACAGAGACCAGTGACAAAGACCAGTGACAGAGACCAGTGACAGAGACCAGTGACAGAGACCAGTGACAGAGACCAGTGACAAAGACCAGTGACAGAGACCAGTGACAGAGACCAGTGACAGAGACCAGTGACAGACCAGTGACAGAGACCAGTGACAGAGACCAGTGACAGACCAGTGACAGAGACCAGTGACAGAGACCAGTGACAGAGACCAGTGACAGAGACCAGTGACAAAGACCAGTGACAGAGACCAGTGACAGAGACCAGTGACAGAGACCAGTGACAAAGACCAGTGACAGAGACCAGTGACAGAGACCAGTGACAGAGACCAGTGACAGAGACCAGTGACAAAGACCAGTGACAGAGACCAGTGACAGAGACCAGGACAGAGAGACCAGTGACAGAGACCAGTGACAAAGACCAGTGACAGAGACCAGTGACAAAGACCAGTGACAGAGACCAGTGACAGACCAGTGACAGAGACCAGTGACAGACCAGTGACAGAGACCAGTGACAGAGACCAGTGACAGAGACCAGTGACAGAGACCAGTGACAGAGACCAGTGACAGACCAGTGACAGAGACCAGTGACAGACCAGTGACAGAGACCAGTGACAGAGACCAGTGACAGACCAGTGACAGAAACCAGTGACAGAGACCAGTGACAGAGACCAGTGACAAAGACCAGTGACAGAGACCAGTGACAGAGACCAGTGACAGACCAGTGACAGAGACCAGTGACAGAGACCAGTGACAGAGACCAGTGACAGAGACCAGTGACAGAGACCAGTGACAGAGACCAGTGACAGAGACCAGTGACAGAGACCAGTGACAGAGACCAGTGACAAAGACCAGTGACAGAGACCAGTGACAGAGACCAGTGACAGAGACCAGTGACAGAGACCAGTGACAGAGACCAGTGACAGAGACCAGTGACAGAGACCAGTGACAGAGACCAGTGACAGAGACCAGTGACAGAGACCAGTGACAGAGACCAGTGACAGAGACCAGTGACAGAGACCAGTGACAGACCAGTGACAGAGACCAGTGACAGAGACCAGTGACAGAGACCAGTGACAGAGACCAGTGACAGAGACCAGTGACAGAGACCAGTGACAGAGACCAGTGACAGAGACCAGTGACAGAGACCAGTGACAGAGACCAGTGACAGAGACCAGTGACAGAGACCAGTGACAGAGACCAGTGACAGAGACCAGTGACAGAGACCAGTGACAGAGACCAGTGACAGAGACCAGTGACAGAGACCAGTGACAGAGACCAGTGACAGAGACCAGTGACAGAGACCAGTGACAGAGACCAGTGACAGAGACCAGTGACAGAGACCAGTGACAGAGACCAGTGACAGAGACCAGTGACAGAGACCAGGACAGAGACCAGTGACAGAGACCAGTGACAGACCAGGACAGAGACCAGTGACAGAGACCAGTGACAGAGACCAGTGACAGACCAGTGACAGACCAGTGACAGAGACCAGTGACAGACCTGCAGGGCACACACGGCCTGAAGTCTGAGGCTAACAGATGCTAACAGATGCTAACAGATGCTAACAGATGCTAACAGATGCTAACAGATGCTAACAGTAGCATAGTGTGGTATAGATATTATTGAAGTATTAAAGGTGGTATGTGTGTGGAAAGAGCAGGTGTAACATGCAGCAGAGACCGGACACAGGGACCAGAGCAGGCTGTGATCGGCAGATGCTAACGGTGGCTAACGGGAGCTAGCATGGAGCTAGCATGGAGCTAGCATGGAGCTAGCATGGAGCTAGCATGGAGCTAGCATGGAGCTGTCAGGGAAAGGACTCACAGGTGACAATCGGTTTGTTCTCCATGGTGTAGATGATGGGCTTTTCCTCTGGACTCTCCATGTGTGTCAGTGCTGCCGATCCATGAACGTGACACACAACCGCAGCGTTATTAGGACTAAGTGCTTCTCTCTGCAGTTGTGTTGCATCGATGGGGCCTGTGTCCCGCCACTTCCGGGAAGTACGTCATCTGTACGTCACGTGTGCGTCACGGAGGTAACCTCCCCATGTTTTAAGATAAGATAAGATAAGATTTGCTTTATTTATCTCACAGAGGAGAAATGTACATGTCACGTTTGGCATGGATAGAACACTCAGATTGTGCAAAAGGAGGAAATGTGCAAACATGTTACATGCAGGATATATGTACAATAAACATGTTACATGCAGGGTATATATGTACAATAAACATGTTACATGCAGGATATATGTACAATAAACATGTTACATGCAGGATATATGTACAATAAACATGTTACATGCAGGATATATGTACAATAAACATGTTACATGCAGGATATATGTACAATAAACATGTTACATGCAGGATATATATGTACAATAAACATGTTACATGCAGGATATATATGTACAATAAACATGTTACATGCAGGATATATATGTACAATAAACATGTTACATGCAGGATATATATGTACAATAAACATGTTACATGCAGGATATATATGTACAATAAACATGTTACATGCAGGATATATGTAAAA